TCTGGTCTGGGGAGGGGGGAAGTGGGGGGGCAGAGCACTCAATTCTCGGCAGGGGCTCTGCCCCAGGCCCTCTGGGGGCTGGGTTCGCCCCAGGCCCAGGTGGGAATGAGCACTGGCTCTCAGATGCCCACCCAGAAGCAGGTCCCACCATCTCTACTGTTCCTTAGGCCCTAAGGAACCTCTTCTAGCACCCACACAGCTCCTGGTTCCTGGCTCCACTCCACCGGGCCCTGGGAATGCTCACCTGCATCCTGGGAGTCCACCCTACCCAGCAGCACTCCCACCTCCCTGCCTTTTCCTCCCTAGCACACAGCGTGGTCTGGCGACTACTTCTGGCTCCTTCGCTGTTGACTCCCACTGGGATGTGAGCTCCATAGGACGGGACCTCGTCCTGTTCCCGGCTCCAATCCCAAGTCAGGCGGGGTGCCTGGCACACCGTGGGCTCTTCTCTGGGCTTTCTTACCTTAGCCCCATCCCCCCTACTGGGTCGTGACCCCTCTGGATGCCCCTTCCCCCACCAAGAGTCCAGCAAGTGGGGGTGAATATAACCAGCAGGAAATGGCCTGGAACATCCCCACCCCCCCGCATTTTTTTTTTTTTTTAAACAAAGTGTGTGTGGCCCTAACCAGTTTGGCTCAGTGGATAGAGCGTCGGCCTGCGGACTCAAGGGTCCCAGGTTCGATTCCAGTCAAAGGCATGTACCTTAGTTGCGGGCACATCCCCAGTAGGGAGTGTGCAGGAGGCAGCTGATCGATGTTTCTAACTCTCTATCCCTCTCCCTTCCTCTCTGTAAAAAAATCAATAAAAAAAATATATATATTTTTAAAAAGTATGTGCGTGTGTTTTTTTTAAAATATATTTTATTGATTTTTTACAGAGAGGAAGGGAGAGAGATAGAGAGTTAGGAACATCGATGAGAGAGAAACATCCATCAGCTGCCTCTTGCACATCTCCTACTGGGGATGTGCCCGCAACCCAGGTACATGCCCTTGACCGGAATCGAACCTGGGACCTTTCAGTCCGCAGGCCGACGATCTATCCACTGAGCCAAACCAGTTTCGGCGTGTTTTGTTTTTTTTAAATATATTTTTTATTGATTTCAGAGGGAGAGAGAGATAGAAACATCAATAATGAGAGGATCATTGATTGGCTGCCTCCTGCATGCCCCACACTGAGGATAGAGCCCACAACCCGGGCATGTGCCCTGACTGGGAATTGAACCCTGACCTCCTGGTTCATAGGTCGATGCTCAAGCATGGAGCCACACTGGCCTGGAGCCCTTTAAAGGACTTTCCAGAGCTGCCCTGGAGGAGAAGACTCAGTGTGGGTGTCTGGGTCCCATCTCCCCCGACCTTCCGCTTCTCACACCTTAGGTTAAGACACTGGTTCTCAACCGGGGGTGACTTTGTCCCCCCACCTCCACCCCAGGACATCTGTCAATGTCTGGAGACATTTTGGTTGTTACACTTTGGGGTGGGGCAGGTACTGGTGTCTAGCAGGTGGAGGCCAGGGATGCGCCTCACACACAAAGGGCAGGCCTCCACAGACCCAGGCCAGCACCAGATCTGCCGGCAACACCACCTGCTGGCCCTGTGGCTTCACCTCCTTTCTTCAGCAAAAAGGGGATTTATTAGTGCCACTTCACGGCACGCTGCCTGGCAGGCAGTAAGTACTGAACAAGTATTAGCTACTATTGAGAAGAAAGGTGTGAAGAAATGATGAAAGCCCAGCTGGGCACAGGGCTGGGACCTCTGCTTTAGATATCTGTCACACCCTGGGCTGCCTCTGAGTGGGATGTGGCCCCAGGAAACCAACAGTTTGGGCTGTTCGCTTGGAAAGAAATGATGAGTCAATTTCCATTCCTCTTTATTAGGGAGGCGCCAGAGGATGGGAGGGGAGGCGGGAGGAGTCAGCATCCTGATTCTAAGGACTTAGTTTGTGCTTCAGGAGGAAAGAGTTTGAGGGGAGTAGAGTGACAGGAACAGAAAAAAGTAATTGAAATTACTTGGGATTTCCTGGAAGGTGATGGCTGGTTAATGCCTCTGCCCACTGCTGGCAACACACACATGCACACGTGCACGCACACAGGCACACACAGCAGGGGGAGGAAACGGGTCACGCCGAAGAGGGTGTGGGACCAGCTAAAGGAAGAGGAGCCACCGCCTCGGGGAATGGAGACTCGGGGCCTGAGAGGCAGAGAGTCCTGGACAGCATACCAAGAATCAGCCCAGACACTGGAACCCTCATCAGGTCCTCCCGTCCTCCCCCACCCCCCATAGGCTGCCCAGGCTGCCCCTCCTCACACCAAACTGGAAAGGGCATGGCTTTCCAGGCCACTCAGATTGAAGTTAAAATCCCAGTGAGTGAGGTCAGGCAAGCGACCCAACCTCTTTGAGCCTTTGTCCCCTCGCAAGTGAAGTAGGGTCACACGACCTTGTGCAGATCACGTGGTCTGCCTGGCACACAGAAGGTGCTTGGAACTTGCTGGTCTTCTCCCCGCTTCCCTCCTGGCCACCCTGACGTTCACCTTAACCTCATCACACCTGCAGAAAACGCAATGTGGGGAAGGGAAGCAGGCAGCCCTGAGGGGGGTGGACCTCAGCAGAGAGGGAGTTAACGGTAATGCCTCGGTGCTCAAGGTATCTTTTCATTCCCTCCCTCTTCTGGGACCCCCACACAGAAGCTCCCTGTTAGAGGGGAGGAAGCAGAGCTGGAGGAATGATGGAGGGTACAGAGGAACTCGCTCAGGGACATCGCTGACTTCCATCGCCCAGGTCCTGTCCTGAAGTCCTCTAGATGGTGAGGGCGCCCACCAAACTCTTTGAACCAGAAGCTGGGAGCACACCTACCAAGCGTGAGCACACTCAGGGGAACAAATGCTAGGCTGTGAGCAGCAGGGTCTTTAACCCCAGGGCTTCTGCTGAAGACAGGGTAGCCTAGTGGTTAAGAGTGTCAGACGGGAACTGCATACATAATCCTGGCTCCACACACGACCGTCATTTATGTTCTCTGTGCCTCGGCTTCCCACCTGTAAAACGGGGATGCTAATAACAGCACCTACCTCAGGGGACTGCTGGGAGAATTAAATATACATGCAAGCAAAGCACTTAAGCACCTGGAACAAATCCGGCACTTAATAAGTGCCATGTATCAGTGTAATGAATAGTTGTTGAATGAATGAATGAATGAACAAAGGGGACAGACCACTGAAATCAGATCTGTCCCCTCCCACAAAATTGACTCTACGGGGCTCCCAGGCAGAAGGGCACCTCTTCGATAAGAGGCCCCGGGAGCGAGGGCTTCCTAAACGCAGAGCAGGCATCGCTCTGCAGACTCTTCTATACAGGGCCAGAGAGTAAATATTTCAGGCTTTGCATTACAGGGTTTCAATCTCAAATGCTCCGCTCTGTGGGTGAGAAAGTATGTAAACAATGGGTGTGGCTATGTTCCAATAAAGCTTTATTTGCAAAAACAGGTTGCAGAGGTTCAGCAGCCCCTTCTCCCAAATCTCTGCAGATAGGGGCTGAGGGTGGCATCTCTTCTTGTCCCCCATTCGTCCCTGAGCTGCCACTGCTGACTAGAGAGCCCCCGGGGGAGGGGCAATGCAGTCTCCAGCTAGAGGGGGGCAGCCAGGCCCAGCCACCTGGGCAGCAAAAACAGGAACCAGGCCTCTGGGCCACCGTCTCTCTGAAACCGAAGCTCAGCAACGAAAAAAGGACCAAAAAAGCAGAAGGTGGAGCTGGAGCAGAGCCAGTGTGTTCCCCGGTGTCCCTGCGATGCCCTCCAGACCCACCTCGGGCACCCTTGGGCTGCCACTGCTCTCTGGGCCCCCTGGTGTACATGGGGACACCACTGACTCCCTTAGCACTTGAGAAATTTAAAAAAAGAAAAAAAAGAAAAAGAAAAAAAGAAAGAAAAGCAGAAGGTATAAAGTTCAAGCATGGTATCATAAGAACCGCCTATTCAAAAAAAGTTAAATTAAAAAAATGAACAAAGTGAAATAAAACATACAAAATAAAACAAAGGAAATAAAACATACCAAAAAAAAAAAAATATAGGGGCTTCCAAGGGCTCCAGCCAGTCAGAGCAGAGAGAGCTCCGTGGTGCTGGCCCTGGGTCCTCACAGCCCAGGCCAGCGTCTGCGGAGGGGAGTCATGATGCACGGAGTGGGGGGAGCGGATGGGGCACACAGTCTCTGCTGTAGGGCTGTGCAGGAGCTCTGCCTCAGCCCCCACCTGTGAGTCTCTGGCTGGTGCTGGCATTCCCGCAGGCAGGCTGACCCCTGCAGAGCCCCAAAGAGCCACAGTTGCCTGCAGCATGTCCTCCTGACTCTATAGCTCCTCCCTCCCTCATCACCACCCAGCACACCCCGTGAAGCACCCTCTGGGCCTGGCACCACACCACGGTCCCAGCCCACCCCGGGAAGCACCCACCGCGCTCTTCACGCAAGGAGGGCACAAAGGCTGAGGAGGGCAGGGGCACCATGCTCTGGGGCTGAGGCAGGCGAACATTCCCAGGGCCCTCCAGGCAACGCAGAACCACCCCTTCTGCCACCTCATCGGCAGACGGCAGCATCCCCAAAACCATGCCAGTCCTTTCTGTTCACCACACGCCCCCTCACATCTCACTGCCCCTTGAAAGCTGGGACGAGCAGGAACCAACTTCCCTGTTTCATTTTGGGGGAGACTGAGGTTCAAGGAAGCAAAATGACTCTACCCAACACCTGAGGTGCCAGTGAACGATACAGACGGACACCCGCTGCCCAGCGCACGGCCCCTCACTCTCTCCCTTCACAGGTCCGGCTCTCCCCGAAGCATGTGCAGGCTTTATTGCTCCTGAATCTTGGCCCTTCCCCACTCTGAACAGCTTGATGTGACAAATGTGAGCAAGCAGCCCACGGATCCCTCCAGAGCACACACACAGAGAAGAGGGAGGCCAGACTAAACGCCACGGCCGGCAGAGAGAAACTTCTGCGTCCCACTTGGCGGCCGGCGACCTACCCCTTCTTCAGGTTTGTCACGTAAGCGCTCTGCAGGGCAGCTTCCAGGAAGTAGGTGAGCTCATAGTCAACGGGGTGGGAGCCTTTCAGGTGCCGCGATGTGTTGTTGTTAGTGACCTGGGAAGGGAACAGAGAGAAAGCCACTGTCCCTGAGTTTTGAGGCACAGCCGGCCCCGTGACCACCCCGAGTCCCCAGCCACCCCATGGGAACATGGTGCAGTACTCAGACCAAATCCAACCCAACTTGCTTTTGTTTACAATACGTCTATAGCACTCTCTCCCCACCCAGATGCCGGATGCCATGACAGCCCTACAAAGCTGGCTTTGTCTGCATTTTACAGAGGAGGTAACTGAGGCTCAGAAAGCGCCGAAAGTCACAAAGCTGGCATGCGCCCGACTCAAACTCAGGTGTGGCCAGCTACCAATTCCAGGCTATCTCTACTACTTATTGATTCATTCATTCAACAAACACCCGAGTGCCTCCCATATGCCAGGCGCCACACTGTCCCTGTCAAACAATCACGGAACATCAAAAGAGCCCAAGGGCAGGGCCCCCAGGTTCCAGAAAAGCCAGGAACAATTGTGCTATTAACTGAGCTGGCCTTATTAACGGGGCTCTAAGTCTCTCAGTAAGAGGCCCCCAGCCCCACCACGATTGGCCTGCCTTCAGGATGCCATTTCCCTTCTCTGATCCAAGAAAAATATCGACGAGCCAACCGCCTTATTTTTCAGAAATCAAAGTAGATTTAAGAGATGTTCTCAGCTGCTCAGAGGCAGGGGCTGGGTCTTCGGAGGAACACAGCGTTTCTGAGAATGCACAGGGTTCTCTGGCTGGCCCTCCCTCAACGCGAGGTAACCAGCGCCCAGGCTGCCCACTGCCACCAGGCACTGATTCCAGGTCTGAGCACCACTGCAGCTCATCACCTTAATCTCCTTTCAAAAGTCCAAAGTCCAGGCTTCTGGCTGAATGAGAGACTCTTCTTTTTCATGAAATTTTCCTCCAAACCCCATGCCATTCAAATGTGAAGAGCACCTAAAACGCTGCTGGCTAGCAGCGATCCACCGAACCTCACGAGGTCAACTCGACCCCTCGGGTCTCCCCGAGGACCTCTGCCAGGGACCGCACTCCGGTCCTGTCTCTGCTGAGCACCTCGATCACTGCTCCTTTCCTCCCGAAGTCCAATCGAGGAGGGGGACTCTGGGGCAGTGCCTCTCAACGGGGCGGGGGGTGGGGTGCGGCGGGTGACTCAACTAAAAATGGCTGCTGGCATCCGGTGGGTATAGGCCAGAGATGCTGCTCCACATTTTATAAAATGCAGCCACACAACCAAGAACTATCTGGCCCCAAATGTCAGGAGTGCTGAGACTGAGCCCCAGGAGGACTCTGCCAAAAAGCTCCATCACAAGCACAGGTGCTGGGTGGACATGCTGACATTTGCCCAAGGAGGTGAGTGAGATTCAAGTGTCTCCTGGGCTCGAAGACTCTCAGCTCATAACCACCTCCTCCTGCAGATGCCTGCAGGATGCCAATCCTCACCTACTCTGCCATCGCACCCGCTGTCTAAAAGCGTGTCTAAAAGCGTGTCTTTGGAGGCGTGCAGGGCACATTTTTCTAATTTGAGAGGTAGGTTCTCAATAGAGGGCAGCCATGAACCCGGTGCTGTAATTCCCAGCTCACCTTCTCCAATTCCTGCAGGAACACCTGCGCGATCCAGGAGGCCCTCTCGAAGCAGGTGATCACTTCCTCCTCCCGCTCAGTCATGCGGTGGCGGGAAGCGATGGAGTTGGGGAGGCGTTCCAGGGAGAGGCCTGCGGGAGGAGGAGAGCAACTCAAACCTGCCCTGCTCAGGCCCCCCTGACTCCAGGTCCTTCCCACGGGGCCCGGGGTGGGCTCCACCGAGGAGACCTAGGCTCTGGAGCAGCCAGCGGGAGCCGGAGGTCCGCGGAGGGGAAGAGGGGGCTAAGCAATGGTGGTATTAGCAGCAGCTGGGATCAAGCGGTGGGCAGACAGCAGGTACCCATGCCCCACATGGGGAACCACACTGTGACACCCCCACATCCTACTCCTACCTATGCCTCCAGACCAATCTCTCCAGGAACCATTCCCGATCCTCCTTCTGGCTGCGAGGAGAAAACACCCCACACCCCCAGGCACCCTGCACTGTAGACTGGTAACTTGTGCCAGCTCTTCTCCCCGGGGAGCGGAGAGCTCCCTGCAGACAAACGTGATTCTCTTGGGCCATCCACCATCCCAGGCACACGGCAGATGCTCGATGCTCGAGCTACACAGCTTTTTACATGCACCTCTCCCGTGGAACCAGTTTCTACCTCGCCAAAGTGATCTGCACCCAGGTCTTATGGGCCGAGAGTGGATGCACATCTGCTGGTTGTGCCTCCACTTCCCATTCTTTCAACAGCAACACCTCGCTTTCCCTTTGAGCACCCCTCCCACAGTTTCAACCTGCGTGGTTCAAGGGTGATGACCCCGTCCACCTCCAGGGCAGCATATCAGCCGGGCTGACCCACCCTCAGGGCCACAGTCAGTGGCTAAGGAGGAGCACACGATCCAGTCTGAACCGAGAAAGAACCAGTCCCTCCTTCCACTGGACTTGGTAAGCTGGTGAGAGGTTGGCCCGGAAATGTCGGGAAAGCCTGCCTGCACATGAAGCTGCACAGCGTGAATGCAGTTCACCCGCTGCATGTACACTGGACAACGGTTAGTATGTTGTTGTTTTTAGTTTATTGATTTTTAGAGAGAGAGGAAGGGAGAGGGAGAGGGAGAGAGAGAAAAACATCCATCAACTGCCTCCTGCATGCCCCCTACCGGGGATTGAGCCTGAAACCAGGGCATGTGCCCTGACTGGGAATCGAACCTTCGACCTTTGGTGCACCAGATGACACCCAACCAACTGAGCCACACTGGCCAGGGCGATGGTAAATTTTATGTTATGTGTTCTTTACCATAATTAAACATTTTTAAAATTAAAATAAAAGCAGAGTGCTAAAGCAAAGCAAAACAAAAACCCCCAAATCCCAAAACAAAAAATCTAAGAAGCCAAGAAGGGAAAGCACTGTTGTACTTGCTAGAAGTGACCGGGGTAAGGGAAAACAACTACATCTGGATCTGTTTTTTTTTAAGACAGGAAAGATTGAATAAACTTAGTCATGAAAGAAAATCAATGGTGCCTACGCAGAGTAAAGGTGAGATATCATGGAAAAGAGCTGGTTCTTAAAGACACTATTTGAGCACCTTGCCTGAAGCTCTATCCCCTGAAACTTATACACCTTTCCCCCCAACCTCTTTTTGAGTCTAAGTCAGTTTAAATTGTGTTTCTGTCACTTGCAACTCGCACAGACCCGACTGGAGGGGGCTGTCCTAGACTGCCGGTTCCCAATGGGCAGAACCAGTCTCTCTCATCTTCGTGCCCCACACAGTACTTGACATGCACTGGGTGCTCAAGATGGACTGACCGAAGGAACTATAAGAACAGAATCCTCAACTCTCTCCTGCCTCCACCCTCCACATCCAACCGATAACTATGCCCTACCCTCCCTTCTCTTACTAACTACCACTCAAGAGGATGCCCACATCAGCCTCCTAGCTGGCCTCCCTGCCTCCAGCCTCCCTCTAATCCATCCTGCACATGGTTTACTTACAGCTCTCCAGGAGTACCCACTGCTACAGACTAAAGTCCAACCTCCTAACACTCCTTTCCAGGCCCTCCAAGATCCATCTATGCCACCTCTCCAGCTTTGCCTCTCAACATATGCTGTAGATCGGGTGTTGTGTCCCCCCAAATCCATATGTTGATGGTATTGGGAGTGGGGTCTTTGGGAGGTGATTGGGTCCTGAGGGTGAACCCCTCATTAATGGGATAGAGCCCTTATAAAAGAGGCCCCAGAGAGCTCCCTCCCTCCTGCCACCACGTGAGCACACAGCAAAAGTTGGCAGCCTACAACCTGGAAGGGGGCTCTCACCACAACCCGACCATGCTGGTGCATTGATCTCGGACTTCTAGCCTCCAGAACTGTGAGAAGTGAATGTCTGTGGCATATAAGCCTGTGGTACCTGTCATAGCAGCCTGAGCTGTCTCATACACCGTAACTGCCATGTCCACACCCAGCCTCCTGCACCCAACTGCTGACCCTGCTCAAGTTGCTCCTGCTGCCTAGAATGCACCCACCCCCCGTCCACCCCAAATTACCTCTCTCCTTCTGCCCCACTGAGTCTCTTCTATGATGCCCCTCCCAACATACCTGGTATAACCAACCATTCCCTTCTTGGATCTCGGTCTGTATTTTATACATACCCCACCATTTCTTACACATATTTGTTCACACATTTGCCCAGCCAGCCTGTAGGCTCCTTAAAGGCATCGACCTTATCACATTCATCTTTCCACAACCTGGCGCACAGTAGGTGCTTGGCAAGCACTGGATGGCTGAAGTAACAGCAAGCCTGATCATGTCTGACAAAGTACAAAGTCTCTGCCAACACAAGGTGAGGAATTATTATTGTTTTCTTGGCTACATCCCAGCTCTATGGATCCAGTGACCTTGCCCTCTGCCTGGCTGGAGTGTGAGCAGGTCTGAAGGTTGGGGTGGCTCGGTCTAGGGCAGCTGTGGGCAAACTACGGCCCGTTCGGCTGTTCTATCCGGCCCGCGGAGCCGAAAGAGCGGAGGGTTCTCTTGCTCGCCCCTCCGCTCCTTCACCAGCAGCAGTGTTAACATGGCAACGTCGGGAAACACGGCCGCAGCTCCTTCTTCTGAGTCCAGTTTAAGAACCCATTATGGCCCTTGAGTCAAAAAGTTTGCCCACCCCTGGTCTAGGGGGAAGTGGTGAAAGTGAAGGCCCTTGCTCAACACAAAAACTCAGTTCCTTGTGTCCCTGAGTGTCAACTGCTTCCTGCCAAAGACTCACAACCATTTCAGCTCCTCACTGGAGAGGACTAAAGGGGGAGGAGAAATAGAGGGAGTAGTGGAGGAGCTGCAGAAAGAAGGCAGAAGGCGGCCCCACTGCTCCCTGCCCATGCTGGCCCAGCCCCTGCTCCTCAGTCATGTGACCTGTCTGCCCAGTAGGAAGGTGGGGCAAACATATAAGCTGTCCCGAAACCTAGCCTGGGAGACCAACTGCAGAAGGCAGCGTGGCCCTGTTTTAACACAGCCACCCTGCCCCCCAGCCCCAGATGTGCCGCTGGGTGGCTCCCCTCCTGCCCCGACTCTGGGCCCTGAACTAAGATAGACGATGCCAGTGGCCTGGCAGGTTCAGGCTGCCGGTCCCAGGCCTGCAGTTGAGGGGTGGCAAAGCAGTGAACTTAGTAACATCTGTCTGGGGGCCTCCTGTGCTTCATGTCTCCTTCTGCTCCCGATTCTCCGAGAATTCCAAATCCTACTGTCCTTGGATGCTCACAGCAAAACCACCGCCTCTCGGAAACCTTCTTCAGCCGCCCAACCTCAAACCAGAGGAACGTTTTAGCTGCATCTCCTTGTGTGAGCCTTTGTCCTACATGGTCACCATCCTCTCTGCCCATTTCTGACTGATCTTGGCACCCAGTGAGAGCAAGGCCTGGCACTGAGTGAGTGGATGGGAGCGTAGATGAGCAAACACACACACTCATGCCGAGTACAGAGCCCACTGGGTTTCTCCCTCTCCGTTCCAAAACTAGTTCTTGCAGAATTCATAAACAAATTGTTTTTACAATGGAATACTACTCAGAAATACACAAAAAGACAAACTCCTGGTATACATACAACATAGACGAATTTCTCAGAAATTATATTGTGCAGAAGGAGCCAGATCAAAAGGTACATGCTATATTATTTTAGTTAAATAATACTCAACAAAGGAAAAAAATTAAGCTAATTAATAGAAATCAACTAATCACTGCCTGGGACCAATTGGGAAAAGTTGAGGAATGTCCTGGGATGGTGGAAACAGCCTTCGTCTTTATTGGGGTGTTGGTTACATAGGGATTTACATTTGTCCAACTTATCACATTATACACTTTGTGCCCCTTTCTGTATGATAATTTACCCAAAATTAATGGATACACGCCTTTCCTAAGGAAGCAGCTGTGGTTCTGGGGAAGTGAAGGATGGAAAGCAGAGGGGTGCAGTCCCTGAGGTGGTCTCTAGGAAATAATTTCCAACATGCACAGGACAGAAGCTTCTGGAGCTGGCAATGGTGTTTCCCGACCAGGGTTACCCGTTCTGCCCATACAAAGAGGCTTCTTTACCTCCTATTTGCTCTTTGACTTCTAAAACGGTCCATTTTCCTGCCCACAACCATCTGATAGAAAACCTGCTGGGGACTCCAGCTGGTGGGTTCCCCTTCGCTCTCCGCCTTTGAGCGTTTCTGCCCAAGTGGCCGGACTCCAACACTAGATCCAGATGGAGATGGGCTGCTCCGGCACCACCAGGCCCTGGGAGGACGCCGGGGGTTGTAACGCAGGCTTGTCAATCAGATAGGAGCCGGGGCCGGAAGTGCCAGGCACTACCTTCCAACTCCCACTGGCAAAGGGGCCTTTCTGTGAAAACAACCAGCTCTACCAGCCAAGGGAGGGCCGTGGTTGACAGAAGCGCTTGCTTCTTTCATTAACTTTCGGTTTGGACGCAGGCTGATGCTGGTACAGCCCCGGGCTCGGCACCCAGGCTGGTGGCAGCCTCTTCGGCCTGGGATGACTCATCACATCCCAGACAGCTGCCCTTCCAAGAAGCCCCACCCTGGGGGCCCTGGGCCTGGCTGCAGAGGTGGAGAGCACAATGCTTCCTCTGCCACGGAACTTTCCACATGGGTGGACCCCTCCCTC